CACACACACACACACACACACACACACACACACACACACACACACACACACACACACACACACCCTATTGGGATTCAATAATTATGCAAGTGAAACACTTACCTTTTGGTCCAATCTTTGCAAGAACAGAATGAACATGTATCATTAACTCTTCATGTGGGGGAGATTCTTTGCTGGCATTCACAAGTAATTGTAACAATATTTGTGAACCACCTCTGGCAACTAAGAAACTTGCTCTCCGACCTCCACCTAAAGAATATTTTTTTTATTTTAAGTAACAAATCCTCCCAATAGTAGGTATCAAATTTGGTAGCATTCAAAAAACATTTAGAGAAACGATTTCTAAAATCAAGTTATTATATAAGTCACATTTTATAATTTTACAAATAATAGTTATTTATCTCCATCTCCTTTAGTTAAAAAGTACAGATAAAGAATAAAAATACCCTAGTACCCATGGCTCATAGCTGTAATCCTAGCTACTTAGGAAGCTAAGATATGAGGATTGTGGTTCAAAGCCAGCCCTTACAGGAAAGCCCAATAAACTATCAGAAACTACCAATAACATACAGGAAATAGACAGGAAATAGACTTGTAGCTCAAGTGGTGGAGCATCAGCCTTTAGCAAAAGGTCAGGGCCAGCACCCAAGCCCTCAGTTCTAGGCCCATGACCACTACCCCCACCCAAAACAGAGTAAAATGCAATAATGTCTAAATTGTAGGTTCAAGGCCTTGAATGTAGAGGTAAATATTTAAAATCATACCAAGTACAAAAGATGACATAAGATGCCTCAGGATGGGCTGAATGCTATCTTCCTATGGCATGTCTATGCCACATACTCTCTTTGTCATGTTTCTTTTCTATTAAACATTCCTATCATTATTATGTTCAAATCATGCCTGAATTCTCTTGATAGACAAAAAGACTTGAAGTCAACATAGCTGCCCTAGATTTCTAGCAACAAATTTGTTGCATTGGTCAGGATAAGTATGTCTTAAGATTAAGTATGTCTTTTGCTGACTTGGATTCACCAAAATGTAACATATTTTGGTACCATGATTCAGGTCACATATGGCTGTTTCCTATTCCAAAACGTTCTTGTGCCTGCCCCTCTCAGTGTCTTGGATTCAACAAGTCTGTTTCTGCAGGAAGAACTGCCCTCTCCATCCATCTGTGTCAAGGACATATCTGTCTGCTCCACTCTGCAAGCACTTTCCCACTCCTTGGACTCTGAATGCTTTCTTATCCTCACCCAATATTAGCGTGGAGTGCCTTGGCTAGGCATGACTTGCTTTGAGGCTTCTTCCAGGTACTGCCACTGCCTTCCTTTGGCGTTACTAAGTGCCACATGCTTCCTTCATCTACAAGGTTCTCACTTAGATCTATTCTACTCTTTACTTTCTTCTGGACAAGTCTGAAACCTTTGACAAAATTCATTCTAAGTATAGTTTTCTACCTTTATTAAAGCATTTCCTTTCATGCTGCTTATTTCCCAATCTATTCAAGAGCTTCCTTTTCAACTACATTGAAACTTTTTTCCCATGAGGATATATTCAACAGAGAGGGGGAAGATGCCTACTCTAATGACAGGATCAGGAGCCTCTTAGCTCCTGTCCTACCTGCTATCCTTGGTAGATTGAGATTAAAAAGGGATTGACAGGAAATTACTTACTCCAGGCAGAACTCAGTTGTCCTTACCCTGCATCTGATTTAATTGCTACTAGCAGAATGGGATATACTATGAGCCAATCCCTTCCATTTAAGAAAACAGGAAGAATAATTAATTACATTGAGAACAGTCTACATTTAGCTCCCTACAAGCGGTCATCTATTTGTTGTGATGTATGATAGAGCCCCTACCACCCAGTCTACTTCCTGAACACATTCAGAAGTTTACCTACTATCTTCTCATACATGGGGTAAAAGCCAAGCACTATGGCTGATATTTCATATACTCGCTAGTGCAGAAGGAGGGGTGTCAAAGGCTGGGAGCACAATTTAACTTCCTTGGGGAAAAGGTTCACAGGTAAATCAATTACACAGAAAAGAAAATGGGACCCCTCTGGAAGTCATCAATTCACACTGTACTGCAGCTAATCATAGTAAGGACATGGTCACCCAAAATTTATGGGAAGCACAGTGGACATTGTAAAAACATGTATGGTAAAACTGGTCCAATACTGTTTCTCTAGGTAATAGGGGTGGGTGTCACTCTCCTTCCTGCAGTTGCCATCCACAAATTGTCTGTGTGTTCTGTTTGTGCTTCTGTATTTTTGATTTGGGCTTCTATATTGTGTATAACATGGCTTATAAAATCCAGCCAGAAGAGCCGGGTGCTGGTGGCTCACGCCTGTAATCCTAGCTACTCAGGAGGCTGAGATCTGAGGATCGCGGTTCAAAGCCAGCCCGGGCAGGAAAGTCAGTGAAACTCTTATCTCCAATAAACCACCAGAAAACCGGAAGTGGCGCTGTAGCTCAAGTGGTAGAGCGCTCGCCTTGAGCTGAAGAGCTGAGGGACAGCGAGTTCAAGCCCCACGACCGACAAAAAAAAAAAAAAAAAATCCAGCCAGGAGTCCTTCAAAAATCCTGTGATCGGAGCTGGGAAGTTGGCTCAGTGATAAAGTGCTTGCCTCACATGCATGAGGCCCTGGGTTTGATTCTTGAGCACCACATAAGCAGAAAAAAAGCTGGAAATAGTGCTGTGGCTCAAGTGGTAGGGCACTAGCCTTGAGCTAAGGAGTTGAGGGACAGAGCCCAGAGTTCAGCCTCCATGACCAGCCAAAAAAAAGAAAAAAAATCCTGTGATCATAAACTCACTAGAAAAGACAAAAGAATACCAGCAGTATGAACAGGTCATCATGCTTCTTCCAATAGTCAACTCATTACCTTGATGGTATTCCAACAGCAGACATAAGCCTGTGCCATCTATTTGTAACCAAAAGATGGCTAAACAGTCTAAGAGCACTCTAAATTAATATATTTGATCGCCAAGTGCTGTTTTTTTATTGTCGTTTTGTGCCATTCCCAGGGCTTCAATCAGGACCTAGGCACTGCCTCTAAGCTATTGTGCTTAAGTTAGCACTCTACTACTTTATCCACAGCTCTACTTCTGGATTTTTGGTGATTAGAGGTAAAAGTCTCTAGGGCTTTCCTGCCCAGGCTGGGTTCCAACAATAATCTTTAGGTCTCAACTACATAGGATTACAGGTGTGAACCACCCTGCACCTGGCTACAGGTGCTATTTTCATGTACTGGTCTACCAAGTTTTGGGCAAAGACTTCATCTGACACTGGAATTCCACAAAAAAGAAAAACAAGAAAAACCGACTAGTTGTTATAACTGATTTTCATTTTTTTTGGGGGGTGGGTCCGGTCGTGGGGCCTGAACTTTGGGCCTGGGCACTGTCCCTCAGCTCTTCAGCTCAAGGGGAGGGCTCTACCACTTGAGCCACAGCGCCACTTCCGGCTTTTTTTTTCTGCTTATGTGGTGCCAAGGAATTGAACAAGCACTCTACCATTGAGCCACCTTCCCAGCCCATGATTTTTATTTTTGAACTCAATTTCTACATGTATTTAAAATATCTAATCTAAAATTTATTGTACATGTGTGTACAATAACATGTTATTATTAACACATAAAAGGTACTGTCATTCTCAAATGATGGTTATCTCAATCAAGTTTAACCAAAGTACAAGCATTTAGAAATTAACTCTAGCTCAAGTCAAAGAAAGAATGACCATTTTAAATTCAAAGAACAAACAGGTCTTGGCATTGGTTATTTAAGCAAATGATTATAACCTATCTCATCCTAAATTCAACTGCTTTACAAGATATGGATTGTAAGGAATGTGTTTATTAGGGGAAGAATGAAAAAGCAAAATGCCTATGCACCTCTGGTCATATAAAATATTATTTATCAAAATAAACTTTGGGAAATGGAAATGATTTTTTTCTTAGTTTTGGGGTTTTTTTGTCTACTTTGTTCATTTATCCATCTTTGGGAGGGAAAAAGGGAGCCCAGCAATGGAGGGACAAAGGGTTAATAAATGTAGCAGTGGTACTCACTCAGATGGTAGGGAAAAACTAGGAGAGAGGGAAAGAATAAGTGACACTGTCCAAAAACAAACTTACACATTAGCTGACTTATGTAACTATAACCCTTACATATAACCCACACATTGCCTTTGTAAGAATAATAAAGTAATTTTTTAACCTTAGGTTTATCTGCACCAATTTAAAAATAATTTGAAATTACATGAGCTTCCATGATGTGAATTTGCTAGGATTACAGGCATGAGCCACTGGCATAGTTTCTAGGGATTTTTATAGATAAGATATTGGAGAGTTGTTTTCCACTGATTTGAAACCAAAACCAAGAATTTAAAATTTAGCACCTGTGGGAGGGAGGGAGGGAACTAGGGAGGGAAGGAGAGAAGAACCAGGCACCTATGGCTCACACCTATAATCCTAGGTACTCAAGAGGCTGAGACCTGAGGATCATGGTTTGAAGCCAGCCGGGGGAGGAAAGTCTGTGAGACTCTCATCTCCAATTAAAGCCCAGCAAACAGAAGTAGCACTGGGGCTCACAGTAGTAGAGTGCTAGCCTTGAGCAATAAAGCTCAGGGACAGAGCCCAGGCAATGAGCTCAAGCCCCATGACAGACAAAAACAAGGGAGATGTTTAATCATTATTGTACAGAAAAATAGTGTAAGATTACTTTTCTTCCTAGGTACACAGACTATTTTATTTTGTTTAAAAACAATGTTATATGAGGTTCAAGGTTTTATAAAACTTATTTCAGAACACACATTAATAATAAGAAAGGACAAAAAGAAATTAGAAAGTAGAAAATATATAGGAGGATATGAGGATATATTTCTGGGGAGGAAGATTAAAAATGAGACAAAATGCTTACAAAAGCATGTTTTTAGAGAGTAAGGTTTGTCCTAACTGGGTGCTCCAAAGTGGAAAAAGAAAATTAAGACAAACCCAAAATAGTTCAAGAAAGTAGTAGGAGCCAAGTGCCAGTGGCTCATGCCTGTAATCCTAGCAACTCAGGAGGCTGAGATCTGAGGATCGTGGTTCAAAGCCAGCCTGGGCAGGAAACTCGAGACTCTTATCTCCAATAAACCAATAGAAAACCGGAAGTGGTGCTGTAGCCCAAGTGGTAGAGCGCTCGCCTTGAGCTGAAGAGTTGAGGGACAGTGCCCAAGCCCAGAGTTCAAGCCCCATGACCAACCAAAAAAAAAAAAGAAGAAGAAAGAAAGTAAGTAGAATATGCCATGATGTATATAAAGGGTGGAATTTATAAAGCGTTTGTATGTATGTAATTAGGTTGATTGTAATTTAAAAGGTTATCTGAAAGTTTATCTAAGCTCAAGATTAATGCACTGGTGTAAAACTAGCACTCAATTCTTTATGCTTATAACAACAATGAGGCTGTTTTAAGGATATTATTCCACTCTTAACATTTTCAAACAATTAGGTTAAAGGAAATTTTATCAATCAAAATAATTCCTTAAGTACTATTGATCTTTTTTTATTGTGAAAATACTGTACAGAGGGGTTACAATTACATGGGCAAGATAATACATTTCTTATCAAGCATTGTAACCTCCTTCTTTGTTTCCCCTTCCCATCCCTGTACTATTGATCTTGACAAGCTTTTGACAATGCATTAAGTGAGTCTTGACTAAGTCAAAGTTCATTTAAGCTTGTTTGTATCTAAGTCTTTTAAATGGCCACCTTATAATTGGTACTGAAGTATGTAGAACTATAATCTACCTGTTATTGGCCACCCTGTATGTCCAAAGTACTTCTATTCCCCAAGGATACAAACCTTTATACAAAAAAATACTAAGCTGAAGAAGACAATATACTAAGCAAGTGCCCTCTAATTAATGATAACCCCCCCCATTATAGGCTTATGTCTGTGTGTTAAAGCTTAGTCATCCTAACAATACTGTCAGTCTTAATTAGTATACTATAATGATGTATGCAACAGAAATATCTAGATTGTTTTTAATTACTAGCAGTTTCGAAAGCTTTACACTGCTATTCCAATTCTTGGGTCACTGCAAATTTGATCCTCCTCTGTAGCATCTGCAGTTAGACCCACTGTAAATAACACTTACAAGTACTTACTTGTCAAGTTCAGTTAGCTTTATTCAAATTTCATGGATTCTAGGTAAGCTCTGCTCAGAAGCTATTTATATCAACAGCTCTATTGTTAAACTTTTCCAAAAAAGGTCTTCCTAGCACAGACTCCCAACTGACCTGTCTGTCATTCCCCTCCAATGTGAAATTAGATCAACAAGGGCATCTCAAACCCAGCAACAAGAAAGACCTACCAGGACAAAGTGGGACAAAGAGGGGCATGTGGCTACTGGTGGGGAAATTTTCTTTTTTTTTTTTTGGGGGTTTTTTGATCGTTGGGCCTGAAGTCTGGGCCTGGGCGCTGTCCCTCAGCTCTTTGGCTCAAGGCTAGCGCTCTACCGCTTGAGCCACACACAGTGCCACTTCCAGCTTTTTACTTTTCGCTTATGTGGTGCTGAGGAATGGAACCCAGGGCCTCATGCATACAAGGCAAGCGCTCTACCACTGAGCCACCTTCCCAGCCCTGGTGGGGAAATTTTCTAATAAAAGGAATGTGGTCAACTCCAAATGCTGTTACTTGTGCTTGCCCTAAAACTAAAGCCAGGCATCAGTGGCCTCCTAGCTACTCCGGAGGCTGAGATATGAAGATCAAGGTTCAAAGCAAGCCCAAGCAGGAAAATCTATGAGACTCGTACCTCCAAACAACTGTCAAAAAAAGCTGGAAATGGAACTTTGGCTTAAGCAAAGAAGCTCAAGGACAGCACTCAGGCCCTGAGTTCAAGCCCCAAGATTGTCACACATACAAAAAAAAAGTTCAAAGGCAGGACTGTCTGATATACATGCCTGTCTACCTTGCAACTGGACGGGGGGGGGGGGGGGGGGGGGGGTGTGGAGGTGAGGGGACGGTCATGGGGCTTGAACTAGGTGCTGTTCCTGAGCTCTTTTGCTCAAGGCTACCACTTTGAGCCACAGTGCCACTTCTGGTTTTTGGTGATTTATTGAAGATAAGACTCATGGACTTAGCTGCCTGGCTGGCTTCAAACCATGATCCTCAGCTCAGATCTCAACCTCCTGAATAGCTACTATTACAGGCATGAGCCACAGATACCCAGCTCTTCCCTTTCTTTCAACCATCAATTTTATAGATCAAGAACTCATATACACCTCCTCTTATTGGACTTGTTAATGTTTTAACAAAGTTTTGTTTCTTTTTGACCAGAATCCATCAAACTGTAAACAGTGATAAAAATGACTCCAGCAGTAAAAGTTCCAGACCACCTCTCTATCAAGGGCCCCTGGAAAAACCATCTGGAGAACACCCTGACTCCCTGCAATAACGGACAACCCTAATCAGCAGAGTAGCTAGAGTAGTCTTCACCTCTTTTGCCTGACAGCAATCAGAGTTACCTTTTCAGAGGGGAAAGTAAGATAAGAGTAAAATACTAAAATAATGTGGCCAAAGGCCATTAAATGTCATAAAGTGGCATAAAGTGATCTAAGGATAGGTCTCATTTCTGCCTAAGATGGTTAACACATAGTTTTAAAACAAAAGGTGTTTAAGTTATCTACCCAGACCTGTGAAACTATGGCCTAAGAGGTCAAATGTGATCAGTAAACCTCTGCCATCCTTGGGACAGTGACTGCCCTAACGACTGTTCTAGAGGAGTAAATTAATGCTCCTGCAGTCACTTTGCAGCCATCACAAATCCAAGAAGGGCCAAACCATAAAGTATTTTATTGTAATTAGACACTATCTGACCAATCTTGAGACAATAAGCTTTCAGACTACCTGCCTCCACCTCTGAATCACTCCAGAACTTGGGACTATTTTAACTATGCATACCTTCACACACCTTGCCGGCCCCTGCAGATCAATCTCAAACATGGCAAAAGACGGCTGAGATGGGCTGAAGTGCTGTCTTCCCAGCGCATGTCCATGCCACATGCTCTTTCTCTACCATGTTTCTTCTCTAATAAATTTTCACCTTTACTTCAAGTAACAAGACTGTGTGACACCTTAGTTGCCAAATTCTACAACTCAGAATGGTTTCTTTTTTTTGGGGGGGGGGTCTGGTTGTGGGGTCTGAACTCTGGGCCTGGGTGCTAGCACTCTATCACTTGAGCCACAGCGCCACTTCTGGCTTTTTTCTTTTTGCTTATGTGGTGCTGAGGAATCAAACCCAGGGCCTCATGCATGCAAGGCAAGTGCTCTACCACAGAGCCACCTTCTCAGTCCCAACTCAGAATAGTTTCCATCTGGAAAATTTCAAATAAAGTACACATGATACATGATTAATCGTGTTTTAAAAACAGAAATTAGGCCAAAAGAAAAAAACTTACCAGCTGACACCAGTTCAAGAAGAATGCACAAGATATTAAGCATAGTCTGAAGATCTTTTGTGTTCTGAAACAGATGATTTGCTTTGTTAAAACCCAAAATTTCTGACTCCCAATTTTTGTATACCTGTTAGAAATTACTTATATTTTACAAATGACTTTCCCAATTTTTCCTAGGAACAAATATTTTACATATCCTTTACTCTCTTACCTTTCCTTTATTCTCTTACGATTTCATTATCTCCTTTTTGAGCTATTATTTTATTAATATTATTTTTAAAAAGTAATCTGTATTTGAATTCCTATTCTTGCTACCAAATAGATAATAAAAGTAAATTAATCAAAACTAGTATAATCCATGGGTTAGGAGGGAGTAGAAGAGAATGAGGGAACAGATTACACTATGGAAAGGAAATATACTTATTACCTAATGTACGTAAATGTAACCCTGCTGTATATCACTCTACAACAATAAAGCAAATTAGGGGGAAAAAAACAGCACAATCATTTTAGACAGTAGTTTGGAGGTTCTTCAAAAAGCTAAACATGGATCTTCCCTACAACCAGCTGTAACACTCCTGGGCATCTACCCACAACATTACAAGCCATGATACTGTGAAAACATTTGCACACCAATGTTCATTGCTGCATTTATACAACAGCTAAGCTATGAAAACAGCTCATATGCCCTACAATATATATGAGTGGATCCAAAAATTGTGGTACCTAAAAACAATGAAAATTTTACACAGCCATTAGAAAGAATAGTATCATGTCATTTGTGGAAAAATGGATGGACCTAGAACAAATCATGTTAAGTGAGGTAAGCCAAGCTCTGAGAGCCAAACAGCAAATGCTTATTCTCATATGTAGAAATTAGATCTAAAATACATGACAAATTATACAGGCCTCTAGGCATTCACTCTTAGGGGAGGGACACAAAGATGCAATGCCTCTGTGCCTCTGATCATATAAAATACTTATTGAAATGAACTCCAAGAAATAGAAACAAAGGGGTTTTTTCCATTTTCTTTTTGTCTTGTTTATTCATTTTCTACCTTTGGGGGACATAAAAATGGAGGGGCATAAATGTCAACAAATTCAGTAGTAGTACTCAGTAGAAACTATGTTGAAAATGAGCTATACAACTTGTGGGTAAGGATGGTAGGGAAAATTGGCAAAGAGGGAGGGAAGGGGTGTCACTGTCCAAATAGAAATGTACTCATTACTTGACCCTTCTGTACATCTTCTTATAAGAACAATTTTTTTTAATTTATAAAGTAAATGAATCAAAACGTAAAAGGAAATACTAACCAGGAATGGTGATACATACTTGTTTCCCCAGTTAGCTAGCTACTCAGGAGGCTGAGATAAAAGTATTACTTAAGACTACTCTGGGAATTACAGTCTCACACAAAAACAAAAAGAAAAACAAAAGACAATAAGTATATATGATGACTTCTCAGCACCCTGGCTTCCATCTCAGAAAGCAATCATGTTATCAGCTTCTTCTGTACCCTACCAAAAATACATATAAGACAAATCTATGTATGCATACATATATATAGACTTCTCCCAAAAAGTACTGCTCTACAAACAACACTTGATACCTCAGCATTATACTTATTAACAAAGAGTTTATTCTTTTTTTTTTTTTTCCGGTTGTGGGGCCTGAACTCTGGGCCTGGGCGCTGTCCCTCAGCTCTTCAGCTCAAGGCTAGCACTCTACCACTTGAGCCACAGTGCCACTTCCGGCTTTTTCTTTTTGCTTATGTGGTGCTGAGGAATCGAACCCAGGGCCTTGAGCATGCAAGGCAAGTGCTCTACCACTGAGCCACCTTCCCAGCCCCGAGTTTATTCTTTTTTATTTGGCAGTACTGAGGATTGAACTCAGAGCATAGAGCTTCCTAGATAAGCAAATGCTCTAACCATTAAGTCACATTCCTAGTCCAGTTTTGTTTCAGTTATTTTCAGATAGAATCTTGGGCTATTTCTCTGGGACAGCCTTAAACAGAAATCTTCCATCTATGTGTCCCACATAGTTGGGATTACATAATCACCAGAGAGAGCTTACTATTTACATATTGTTCACTAACATTTGGCCCAGGCTAGTCACAATCTCCTGAGTAGGTGGAATTACAAGTATAAGCCAATATACCTGGCCCCTTCTTAATTCTATTTAAGTGATATAGGGTAAATTCCATTATATGGCTATTCTATTTGTTATGTACAATCACCCAACCATGAAACAGTAAGGCTATTTTAGAATTTTATCAAAATTTTATGAAAATTTTAATTAAATTTTCATTTAAAATTATTATTATTAAGTACATGAATTCTTATGTAAGAATATATGTACATGAACTAAACTTCTAACATTTCTAGGTTAAAAAATGAAAGCACTTATTGATAGATACTGACAGCTTTCTCCTCATAGAATAATTTATACCCCAATCGTTGATGCAGAAAAGTAATTTCCTAATGTCCAGAGTACCAATCTAAAAATGAAAAATTATCTGTTTCTATAATTTTTTCCTCTGGTCAATGTGTAACAGTGCTTTGTTATGACAAAGAAATTAAACCAGGGATGGTGGCTCATGTCTGTAATCCTACTCAGAAGGCTGAATAAGTAGGAGCTCAGCCAGCCAAGGCAATAATTCCACCTGACTTCAATACTATTGGGCACAGTGACATATGACTCCTCTCCCAGCTATACAGGATGCATAAACAGAAGGATCACGGTCTAGGCTAGCACAGACTAAAAAAAAAAAAACGGGAAAAAAAAAGTAAGCCAATTCTAAAAAAAAAAAAAAAACAGTGAAAGCAAAAAAATATCGGGGCATGACTCAAATGGTAGAACATCTGCCTAATAATAAGCACAAAATCCTGAATTCAAACCCCAGTATGGCCCATCTAAAAATATAAATTATATGAGTATTTTAACTCTTCTTTCCCACAATGGGTTTTATAGTTTCTATTTTATACTAATAAAAATATTTTGTTATAATTTAAAAACTTCTCCTTTTGATTCCTCTAATATTATGATTTAATTTTCCATGCATATATTTGTATTTACTTTTTTTTTTTTTTGGCCATTCCTAGGGCTTGAATTCTAGGGCTTGGGTGTTGTCCTTGAGCTTCTTTTGCTTAAGGCTAGTACTCTACCACATGAGCCACAGAGCCACTTCCAGCTTTTTTGAGTGGTTAACTGGAGGTAAGAGTCTCACCAGGTTTCCTGCCCATACCGTCTTCAAATCATGATCCTCAGATCTTAGCCTCCTAAGTAGCTAGAATTACAGGCATAAGCCACTGGCACCCTACCCATGCTTACATCTTTGCTTGATATAGAACTTTGGTATAAAGACACAGAAACTAGGAATTTCACATTTTGCTTTTCTAGATGGCTACTATTTGTCCCAGCTCCACTTATTAATAACTCTTCTACTCCTCCGTGATCTGAAAAGCCACCTTTATCAAGTAATACTAAGTTCCCCTGATCATTTCAATGTATTTTTGGATTTTCTATTCTGATTACATTTAGCTGACTATGTGTATATATATATAATTTCTAAGTTATTTTAATTACTAAAGCTTTATAATGACTTTTGATAATAAACACATACTCTAAACTGGCAGGCCAATCTAGAAAAAATAATACCTTTACCATGTTAACGCTTCCTATTAAAGAACACAAACCATACACATTTTTTTTGGGGGGGGTTCAGTCTTGGGGCCTGAACTCTGGGCCTGGGTGCTGTCCTTTAGCTCTTCAGCTCAAGGCTAGCACTCTACCACTTGAGCCACCACACCACTTCTGGCTTTTTTCTGCTTATGTGGTGCTGAGGAATCAAACCCAGGGCCTCATGCATGCAAGGCAAGCACTCTACCACTGAGCCACCTGGCCAGCCCAAACCATTTACTGTTAACACTACAAAAATCACAGAATTTTGATTTGATACATTCCACTGGATTCTGCTGGTCAAAAAAAATTTACACTTATATAGAAATTCAATTACCATAATAATTTAGATACTCAATAAATGAAGTAAAATAAATCATGAGTAGATCAACTACCACAATGCCATTGATGAGAATTCCAATATTAACTATGTTAAGCTAAAGACTTACTCCCAGCACTAATGTTTTATTTTTTTTCCTTTTTTTTTATTGTGAAAATACTGTACAGAGGGGTTACAATTACATGGGCAAGATGAGTATATTTCTTTTTTTTTTTTTTTGTCTGTCATGGGGCTTGAACTCTGGGCCTGAGTGCTATCCCTCAGCTCGCTCAAGGCTAGCGCTCTACCACTTGAGCTACAGCGCCACTTCCAATGAGTATATTTCTTATCAAGCATTGTAGCCTCCTTTGTTTCCCCTTCCCATCTCTAGCCATCCTCCCCCGCCCCCCCCCTTTTTTTGTCAGTCGTGAGGCTTGAACTCTGGGCCTGGGCACTGTACCTCAGCTCTTCAGCTCAAGGTGAGAGCTCTACCACTTGAGCTACAGCGCCACTTCCGGTTTTCTGGTGGTTTATTGGAGATAGTAGTCTCACAGTCTCTCCTGCCCGGGCTGGCTTTGAACCACAATCCTCAGATCTCAGCCTCCTGAGTAGCTAGGATTACAGGCGTGAGCCACCAGCACCCAGCTATTTTTTTTTTTTTACTACCAATGAGAATGGCATGTTAAGATTACAATATACAGTTATTACAACCACTAGAAAATATATTTAAAAGTTTACATGTTTTAATATCCATACTACCATTCCAAGTAATTTAAAACATAAAGCAAGCTTTTGTTCATTGGCTTTTATCTCTAAAAAAATTATACTTTGCATGTTTGTGTGTCCTTCAGTATTGCTTCCTATTAATAGTTAAATAATTAAAGGCTCTGAATAATTTACCTCTAATGTTGACAGCAGGACTTCCATTCCTGTAGAACCTTTTGCTGTCATTTCTTTCCTTGTTTTTTCTGAAACACAGAAGGCAACATCTTTAAATCTATACATGAATACATATATACATATACAAATACGTGTATACATATATAGACACATATAGGTATTCGCAATACCTATTGTTATTGGTAATTCTACCCTATGGTTTCCAAATTTCAGTCAGTAATACCTTCTATGTGTTTTTTCTCAGCTCCTATACTGGAGTAAGAGAGAGCCCAATAATCCATTCAAATACAACACAAGTACCAAGAACTGGGGGTGAGATAGGAGTAATAATGGTAGGCATCTTTATTTTTACGAACAGAACTAGAAAATAGTTCATTAAATGAGTGAAAGCAAAATTCTAATGTTGTATTCAAATGTTATGATTATATTACATCAAAACTCTGAATCACACAAAAAATGAATGAAGCCAAGGAAGAACTGGTCTTCCGTCTGAAGACAAGATCACTAAAATACCTTTTCTACTACTGGGAAGGGAAAAATTGTATAAATATTTGTTATTATTTCTTTTTTTGGGGGGGTGGGGGTCCGGTCGTGGGGCCTGAACTCTGGGCCTGGGCGCTGTCCCTCAGCTCTTCAGCTCAAGGCTAGCGCTCTACCACTTGAGCCACAGCACCA